ATGTTTCTGGAAGTGATATGGCGTTTTGGTTTAGTGAAAAAGGTTATTGGGAGTCTAAATGTAACTGCCAGGTGATCTGAGACACCAACATCATATATGTTGATGCTGGTGAGTGGAAGAGAGTCAGTTATAACAAGGTCCAGAGTATGCCCTTTGCTGTGGGTGGGGCCATCTGTGAGCTGTTGAAGATTTAGACAGTCCAGAACCTGTTTGAATTCTGCAGCTAGACGGGAAGTTCCCAAAAGACTGAAGCACTTTAAAAAAATCTATACTTTTTTAACAGTTGAATGTGTTCTTTTTTAATAATCTCTTTTGTTGTTTAAATAAAATATTAGGCATTTTTTCTTATTATGTATTTTACCTGTTAAATCATTTTTCCACACGTTATGATTTGTGGCATTCTGCACTTTAAAAGATTCATCTAAGTGGTTACTTTTTGAACACCACAGTGTATTGAATAAATACAAATACTGGGATACTGGGCTGCAACTAATTATTTTGCAAATCAATTAATCTGTCGATTATTTTATCAATTAATTGATTAATAATTGTTTAGTCAATAGTTCCTAAAAGATTTTTCACATAATTAAACCACGTGAAACTAAAACTTTTCCACTTGAGTTCTAGATAGAGCATATTGACAGAAAAAACAGGTAATTTTTATTTTAAATGCAAAAAGTTTATAAATTTCTTTACAATTTTGGTATAATTACTGCTCTAATTGGGTTGCTCTGTCAGCTGAAGGCACATTTTAGAGCCTCTGCACTCCAGCTAACATTTAATGGATTACTAAATAAGTTGACGATTATTTCAACAATCGATTAATCACAATTAATCTGATTATTTCAGCCCAACTGGGAACCAATACTTTTTTTCACTTTTCATTAATATTTCATATTCAGCTACACAAGCATCCTCTTCAAGCCCCTCAAAATTGTAAAATAAATTACAGTATACCACATTCTTATGTACACCTTAGTAATTCATTGATATGCCACATAATGTCCTCCTTTTTGGTGCTATAGAAATGGCCAACATAGCCAGTGAGCACAAACTCTGCTCTGGAGGGAATTTGGCTATGCACATAGCCACAGCTGAAAACTGCCGTGTGTCACTCAAGATTTTGTAGGGGATGACCTGGCTTTCGCTTCTTAACATACCTATGCTTGAATATGCAATAAATTATATAATAATAGATTATCTATAATAATTTATTATATAATACACTGGAAACGCTATGAGGGAACAGAATTTCATGTTGTTTGACAGTTTCTCAAAAAAGAAATACAAGGTTGTCCAGCAAGACATGTAGTGACTTTAGGTTGATTTTGACGTTGTAGAGTGCAAAAACTTTAAATTCTATTCAGCAGGGTATGGAAAATCTGCAAAAGATTAGATTAAGCTCCACCAAACCTAAAACCTGCTGTGGGACCTGAGGGTTTTGACAGACTTTCTTGAATGTCATGAAGTTCATCAGGGGTATATTTTTTGTTTCTATTCACTTCTGGATTACAAGAGTATACATTGTTTCTGATTTGGGTTCCTCAATATGCAATGCAGCTGCGCTGTGTTCAGTGTGAGTGTTGCTTCAGCAGCAATTACGTTTAGTTTGTAAATTGCATTAAAAATCTTCAAATGGTGGTTCTTTCCTCCATCTCAGCTACTACAGAGGGATGGCAACATCGGCTCCAAGTACATATAATGTACATTATGGACAACCCTGTGCTTACTTTTCAGAGGGATGTTGTAAAACAAAGTTTTTGGTTCAAGGCTTCTCTAGATCTGCTGCTAGATGCTACAGGAGAATCTTTCTGCCTATAAACTACAAAAAAAGTTACACCATTTTATTTCTCTTTGGGATCAAGTTCATATTTAATTAAACTGTAATTTTCTGGGTCTGTGCTTCAGATTACAAGTAGCCTCCTAACAGGTCCCAACACTTTGCTTTCAGTACTCAAATTTAGGCATTAGTGCAAAATATTGTTCTCAGAAGTATTCTGATCTTAAATATTTTCACTTTCTTTAAACAGCACTCTTAACTTTATGGAGGAAAATACGTTTTAAAACCATCTGAGACCGTCTATACGTGTGCCACTCAGTCAATCAAGTAACTAAAAGCAAAAAAGATATTTGAAAATATGCTAATTAAACAGGTTGGTCTGCTTACCTATTAATATTGGCAGACACACAACCCTTCACATCACAGTGGTTCTCTAAAAATTTAGATACTTTTGGCACATAAATAAATGATCTCCAGTCTATTTATTAGACCACTGGACATCAATCTCAAAGTTATGGAACAATGCTGCCCTCTTGTGGCCAAAAACAATTGTATGCCTTTGAATTTTAACTTTCTCCAGATTTTGATTTTGCCTCACATCAGTGTTCAACCTTCTCTGTCAATGGCTAGTGAACTATAGGATACAATTCAAACATAATAGAAGCTGTAGAAACATACGCCTTGGATTTTATATTTAAATTGAAATGAAAGAGAGTACAAATAAAAAAATAAAAAATAAAAACATGCAACTTTTTCAAACTCCCATGTATAAAAGAAATGACTGAGTCAGAGTTTAAATCGATTTATTAAAAAAAGAAAATGGACATCTTTAAATATCAGATACCACATGCAGAGATGCATCGCTGAGCTCACATTGATCAAACAGACTCTGCAGCAAATAAACACATGAACTGAAGAACTGAGGGGTTAAAGAAACCGTATCATTAAGGAAATGATGGTTCAGTGCCCAGCGGTGGCTCCAACAGGATCCATCATGAAACAGGACGTGGAGTAGACGGCCAGCAGCCATTTTCAGCTAAATTTGGCTTTAGAGAAATCCATCTCTGGGTGCTGAGCCATGAACCTGCAGGGAGGAAACACAAAGTAAGCAGGTCAGGAAGATAAACATTGATACGAGACCTGCTTGATGTGAAGGATGACTGTTTCTAAAAAGGCACAGGGCTATTTTCTGAGTAGTTCTCCGAACAGCAGAGTCAGCAGATCTATTTACTATCTAAAGAAACCTGCCAGGTTAAACTTGACAAAATCAACTTTGTGGGACTGAAGTAGAGATCCCTCAGTTCAGAGTTCAAAGTGCAACAATATAAAAATTCTTGCAGCTATTTTTAAATAAGATTAATTACAGCATTAACTGCTGTCAAAATAATCAAAAACACCAGCACTGAGCTCCAGCCGCTTCATCAGCAAGCAGAAAAAAAACTCATCCAGATGTTTCAGCTTTAAAGGGTCATAGAATGCAAAACTGAGTTTCCATTGACGAATAACTATAGTCCATAGTGGGTGAAATGGACGTACAGAAAAGTTCAAACCCCATCAACACCTCCTTTCTCTGCAAATCTCACAATTCTAAAGAAGAATTCTTTGCGTGTTTTGTAATTCTTCTAAAGAATTAAAAAGCAGGCAGTTTCTCTGTTGAAAATGAGCCAGAACCACAGGCGTAAATGCAGTGTTCCAGGCTGCACGGAGGAAGGGGAAAATGTTCACAGTTTTCCCAGACTCGACAGGTATGGATTAGTATGTCTATCAGAGGATCCCAGCAAATTTTGAAGCTCGGCTCTTAATTTGCGCTAAGCATTTTACCGAAGACAGCTTTCAAACTCTTGGACAGCTCAAAGCAGGATTTGCTAAATTTCTTTTACTGACACGAGGGTCTGTTCCGACCGTCAGGCCATCTCAAGCTGCAAGAATGATTCTGTCGCCAAGCTGTTGATAGCAATGCTAGCATATCTATGGTGACCAGATTTGGGTTTCTGAAAAGGAGGGGATATTGGCCGTCGACTGGACCGGCCTGCGGGCGTTTGAACGGAGCCAGCCAACGATGGAGCGACCGACACCGGTGGCTTCCCTGCGCAAGGCAGGCGGGGGAAAGCACGGGACCGCCGGTGTCCAGGCTACCGTCACCGGGTCAGGTTCAGTCGCTCTGTCCCCTGCTGGCTCCCTGCCCCCATCTGCCGGGTCAGGTCACCCTACCATATCAACAATTTGATGTTTCAGTGAGTGAGTGCTTCTTGCTATGATGCGTCTTTGCTCAGCAGCTTCACTCGTAAACCAACCAATCAGCGCACAGCTCATCTAAATATTCATGAGCATAGCATAAAAGGAAGAAAACTTGTTACAATCTAGGGCTTTTAACCAGGCTTGCATTAGGGCAGGGGTGTCCAAACTACAGCCCGCAAAGAAGCAAAGAAGAACTGTTACCTCGAGTCACCAGCAATGGCAGCACCGAAGAAATGCAAAAGAGCAAGTGAGTGTAGGAGATTATAAGTACGGTGGGAAAATGAGTATGTTTTCAAAGAAATCAATGGAAAGTGTGTCTGTTTGATTTGCAACGAAGATGTTGCTGTGATGAGTATGATGTCCGTCGGCACTATGAGACGGACTATGAGACCAAACTTTAGAGTTACACATCATACACTGGTGCCGAACAAACACAGAAAGTCAAGCAAATGGCAGCTAGCCTGCAAGCTCAACAACAGTTTTCCATGCTAACAAAATTCAGGAAAACGCCACAACAGCAAGTTATGAAGTCGCTAAACTTATTGCCTAGCATGGCAAACCGTTTTCAGACGGTGATTTCATAAAGCAGTGCCTCATCAAAGTCACAGAAATAATGTGCCCAGAAAAAGTGTCTGATTTCAACAATGTGAACTTGTCCAGAAATACAGTGGTGCGGAGAATAGAAGACTTGTCAGCTAACTTGAAACTTCAGCTGAGAGACAAAGCTTGTGCTTTTGATTTTTACTCAATAGCATGTGATGAGAGCACAGATGCCACAGACACCTCACAGCCGTTAATTTCAGGGTTCGTACGGGTGCTGGAAATCCTTGAAAATGCTTGAATTTTGACGTTGTGTTTTCAAGGTCTGAAAAGTGCTCATATTTTGGATGAAATGCTTGAAAATGCTTGAAATTGTGACTATTTCTTTCGCAACAAATACCTATCTAACTGAATCGTGTGTTTATTAAATGGAGAAATGTTGGAGAGCCCGAAAAAGTTTATGTGTGACTGCGATCTGCCATTCTATTTCCATGTGTGACTCCGCCCCCATGAAACCACTACTGCACCATGCCGGGAGGTTGTCGTTTCAATGAACGTTGGCTGGAAGATGAAAAATACAAATTATGGATTAAACGGGGACAAACCCCACCAGTTGCCTCTTGTAAAGTCTGCAAAAAAGATGTGCAGCTTTTCACAATGGGCGAGTCTGCGCTCTCGAGTCACATGAAGGGTAAGTCATAGTGACTGAGAGTACGGTGTGATAATGTAATGTTAGTATTGCAGTGTTTCCCGCAGCACTATCTTGGCGAGGCGGCTGCCTCGCCAAACTCACGCTACCGCCTCGCCAACGTTCCAAAAAAAGAACAAAAAAAAAAACAAAGTTTTAATTCATTGCCAGGTCCAGACCTTAAAACAGCATCGATAACTCTACGGCTGATAATACTGAATTGTGACACCCTCTGGTTGGTTATATTACTACGCCAAGGCAGAGGAGTAATTTTCTTTGATCATCCGAGGAGACGTGTGGGGGGAAAAAAACGTGTTCGTCGTCTTCATCATCGGTGAACTATATGTGGAAACAGGGGCGGATTTAGGAAATTTGGGGCCCTAGGCAAAGACAGGCATGGGGCCCTCTGAATTGAGAAGACAACATATAGAACAGACCCATTATATACAGATGCAGAACCTTTAACAGAATAGAAATTTGAGGATGTCATGTATCTTCAAGTTTTTCTATGTTACTGTAACTCGGAGGAAAGAATCTCTCTCTCTCATATATATATATATATATATATATATATATATATATATATATATATATATATATGTGTGTATGTATATATAAATAAATAAAAGATGCATGTCACAGGAAAGACTAGTGTTGTTACAAATATGACAATTTCTTGTTTACAGCAGCAAAAAGATTATAGAAATACCATATTTTCACGACTATAAGGCGCATATAAACGTCTTTTTTTTCCCCTCAAAATGTGCGGCGCGCCCTTTGGTGCGCCCTATGTGTGTTGTTACTGCGGACTTTTGAGACCAACATGCAGAACTCCTCATCTCCTCATTGAGGAGATGATGAAAGAGTGGATGAGGGAGGTGAATGTAAGGAGACCAGGTGGTTTTTTTCCCACTCAACACCATCGCTGTTAATCTGTGACTCCATGCGTGCCCATCTCACAGCTGATGTGAAAAACATGGTGAAACAAACGAACGCTGTGCTTGCTCAACCGCTCGACATCGGTGTGAACCGGACCCAGCAGGTGCAGCAGAAGCAGCGAGTTTACATGCAAAGTCAATGGTTGACGCGCGTCTGGGCGCAGCAAAAGGTCCCGCAGCGCATTTTGAGCAGCAGGTGCAGCGCGTCGGGAGCGTTTAAGCATCTGACGCGCTTGACGCACCGCTAATGCGCTGCTGCTGCTCGAGATGGAAAAATTGAAGTTTTGCTGCTGGACAGCAAATATAGCTGCAAGGCAAAGAAAGGATAGGTAGCTCCGCCCAACGCGCGTCAGACACACTTTTGCACCGCGCAGGCAGAGCTGCAAAGCTGCTTCAGCCGCGCGTCAGAACTAACTGCTACAAGCAGCAGGCAGCAGGATAATAAAAGCAAACATATTCTGCCGGCAGAATAATTCCACGAAAAGTGGAAGGCAGCTCTGCTGGCACTGTTGTTCGAGCTTTCGCAAAAGCCGGCATAATTTCCGAGGAGCCGTCTGATTTAGCACAGCTGTTTAATTCAGAAACAGAGGATGATGACTTTGATGGGTTCGATTAATACTTTGTAACAAATACTTGAATGCAGCACAATCATACTCAGTTTTGCTCCCGCTCTATTTTTCTACCTAAAAACTTAATTCAACAGCAGCCTCTGGGCCGGGTCCACCGCGGCGGCTGGTAGGTGTTTTTCATCTAAATAATCTAAAGGATAATAGGATAATAAAAGCGAACATATTCTGCCGGCAGAATA